AGTTTAAACCATTATACACACATTTCTTATATGTAGACAGTATGAACTCAGTGAGGTGACTCTTTAACACACTGATGAGAATTTATATAGTACAAATTTACAGTTGGAAATGATGAAACGCTGAAGTACGTCATCCTGAGCGTCACGGAGAAAAGAGTCGGAAACCGACATTAGATCACAAACAATGACGTGACAGTGGAGTCAGAATCTGGTGGGAAACTGTGGGAGAGGAGCCCGATCGATAAATCTGTTAGCTGATAAAGATCTGTCACTGACGTGTCTGCTCAGGGGTTCATGTTGATATGAACACTTTTATTTCGTAATTTAGAAAGAAAATCCATTCCATAGTTTGTGCATCAGAGAAATGTGTTTTTGAAAACTGTCAAGTGTATATTGTGAGGAGATTTTCTTAAATGAACATTTAGACAATGTTGGAAATTAGCTTTTTTTTTAATATCACTCTCATGTCTAGTAAATATGAAATCACAGTTTTTTTATACGCATTTATTTACCAGCTACAATGTGTTGGCTCTGATTTGTTTGTTTTCTAAATCTGGAGAGAACCAGATGAGGGGGAAACTATTCCTTTATTCATAAATAACAATATTGCTGATGGATTTGTGGATTCAGTATAAATCAGGCTCTAATCTGTGATCGAGGCCCCGGACCTGATCAGCAACAGGAGGAAAATACAGAGGATGGAAACACAACAGAAGAGGTGTTCACAAAACTGAACCATGATGATCTGTGTCATGCACGTACTTGTGGAAAGTGTGATAGCTGTAGTAATCATCACTGACTGAGTGTAATCCTGTGTGAGTCAGAAATCCTTGCAGGCCTCCGCTATCTGACGCTGAGACACTACTTCCTGTAATGAAAGCAGATTATTGGACTCTCCCTCACGTCTGTAAGCAGCTGTGTTTAACTACTTTCTCTCAGTCACACTGTTTGTCATGAAAACTCTTCTACTGCAGGTGTTCAGATGACGGGCAGCACCGGGTCAGACAGATGTTTCTGGATCTCAGACAGTCCTGAGCTGATGTCCAGGTTCCCCGGCAGCGACGGGCAGCGGAGGCTCCCACAGAGCCTGGGGTTCTCCACCAGAGAGGATTTGTCTGACGGCTGGGGCGGCCGCGGAGTTAACCCCGGACGGGTCTCAGTTTCGGGGGTGACGGTCATGAACGTGGTGTCGTCCGAGGCCACGGTCACGGGGATACCGCTGGACAGAGACTCCTGGGACCTCTTGGCGAATGTAAGGTCAGTCGAGTTGTAGAGAGGAGACATGAAAATTTTTAACTTTTTAAGTAAAAGCCAAGGAATAATTTTCACTTTCTTTACCATTATTTCTCAGGGAATATTTAAATGAATCTTAATTTAGTGCAGATCCAAATACAACTCTGAATAGAGTGACTTTAAATGTGGTTTCCCTTGGAGACCTTCTAGTTGTGGTGTTAGTCCTTACCTGTGTGGGTGCTCTGCCTTCCATCTGTATGGGAGAGACGGGAAACATGCTGTGCAGCGCTGGCGTCCCAGTCCCATACAGGCTGGGTGAGTTGGAGGGGAGGGTACTGGATGATACAGTGCTGTAAGCTGGAGGCACAGGAGCCATCTGCCTCTGGAGAAGCTGGAGGATGACGTTGATGTCGGCCGTCATACGAGTCTCCAGTCTGGAGAAGAGGGTCGTGTAAGTCCAGGACATGTGGCAGGACATTTGAAGTAAATCACAGTAAAAATGCTCTTTTGATGAATCTTAAAGTTTGAAGTGAATTAAAAAAAATTAAATTAAACATACACAGGATATCAAGGGGCTCAACAGAGTCTAAAATTCACCTGTTGAGCTGTGAATGTAAAACCTCCAGTCGAGACTCGAGCTCACTGGGCCGTTCTTCTGTGAACGGCGGTGGGTGGTATGAGTTGCGGACAGAAGACGATCGCCACGTGCGGCCGGAAAACTGTTGTGACTGTTGGTCTGGCCAGTAACGATACATCGCTGGTACATTCAAAGATGAAGCTGAGGAAAATAAAACAAGTTTAATCCATATAATTAGATTTTAGTAATCAGCGTGTCCATAATGTTGAAGGGATAGAGCAGAAATACATTAAATCAAAATGAAACACCAACATCTTGTGTCTCCTTCTGGGACAATCAAGAAGGTTGTCGGCCCACCTTGGTGTCCTCTGTCCATCACTGCTTCATTCCCCACTGATGTGCCACTCGGGGGCAGCAGCTGCACCACAGAGGGGGGGTAATCTTCTGGAGGATAACGCTCGACTTTGGCATCGTGAGCAAGAGACGTCGCCAGGTCCTCGCTGGACTGGGAGCACGGGGATCCACAGCTGCAGTGGTCGTCCCAGTGGGCCTGGGAGGGTGAGTGACGATGACGGAGGGACTGAAGGGGGTACGAATCCTCATGATCGATTCCATCTGTTCACAGAAAAGAATTTCAGGAACTGAAGTTACAGTATTTGTCTACACATGAATCCCTCTCCAGAGGCCAGAGACTGTTCCAGCAAATTCCATGTTAGATCATCAGTAATACTTCTTTGCGGTACAACTACACAGTAATTTATCGGAAGATTGTTATAAAAACACTCAACTAGTGTCAACATATCTCACCTGGTCTAATCCTGCAGTCCAGGGAGTGGAGTTTGTGTCTTGGCTTGTGGTGATATCCACAGTCGTCTCCAGAATCATCAGTTGTTATTATTGGCGGCACTTGATCAGCCTGATGAACGCAGGGAAACAAAGACATTATGGTTCTGTAAAATATATAATGTCCAGACCTTAATCGTTTTTTCGTAACAACGTACGTCTCTCAGGTCAAAGGTCATCTCCAGGTTCCTCCAGAAGTTGTCTGCAAAGCCGGGGTAGATATCCAGCACCTCCATCAGGTCGTCCCTCAGGATGCGGTGCAGGTCACAGTAGGTGATGGTGTGCACGTCTGAGTTGGACTTCCCCGGATCATCATACAGGTGGATAGCCTCGCCAAAGATGTCATTCCTTTCTGCAGGAGCATGGACACTTTTTATTTGAGTAGCTGTTGTATTTAGAGTTTAATTTTGGAGCTTTTCAGGGGCGACTTTGTAATTAGATGTTACCTAATATGGCTACTACCACATCATCCCTGATGATCTGGATCGAACCACGCGAGATGAAGAAGAGTGAGTCCAGGATGTCTCCGTAGTGGATCAGGGTATCGCCTGGAGGAGCGTGGACTGTCTTGAACCTCTTGGCCAAGGCGCGCAGACAGGCTTGACTGCCTCCGCGGAAAGCCTTACAGTTGTGCAGCAGGGATCTGTTCAGGTGTAAACAGATGTCGGCCTGTAGAGACTCTGGAAACCCCTTCAACACCTGAATAAGAGAAGACAAAACCAAATTATCAGCGATTAGATGCAAAACCTGACCCTGAACACCCAGATGCAAACTTTCTCTGTTTTTACTTACAGCGTTCATGTCGATGCCATTTGTGTAGGACCAGGCGTGCTGGAAGTACTCCTCCAGCCTTTGACGCAGGCAACCTGGGATTTGGTGGAATCGGATGAACTCTTTGACTCGCAGCATCTGGGTGTGGTAGCGGGTTGTACCTGAGTACAGCCGCTGGATGATGGCAGACACGTTCCCAAATATGCTGGCATACATTAGAGCTGAGACAGAAGAGGACACACAGAATAGATTAATAAGACCCAGAAGATTTGCTGACTCATTCAATCTTCAGTGAATAAGAGAATAATTCAAGGATCTTGACGAAACAAATTGGGCAAGTTTATTACACTAACGTTTATGAGTGTCTGTAATTTGGTGCAGATCCAAGTAAAAATCCTGATTTGTCCTTTTAAAAAGTGAAACATCCCCAGGCCAGTATTTTTTACAATGCAACAGTGTTGTTCAACTCACATCCGATGACCATGACGCAGATGGAGAAGATCTTCTCGGAGTTGGTGTTTGGAGAAACGTTGCCGAACCCGACGCTCGTTAAGCTGCTCAATGTGAAGTACAGAGCAGTGACGTATTTGTCTTTGACCGATGGACCGGAACTGGAGTCGCTGTCGTTGTACGTCTTGCCCAGTTGTTCAGCCAGGTTGTCCAGCCAGCCAGTCTCTGTGTAAGGCCTTTCCACAAAGCCGATGGCGTACCAAATGCAGGCCAACCAGTGGGCGATGAGTACGAAGGTGCACATGAGGAGGAAGAGGACGGCCGCTCCGTATTCCGAGTACCGGTCCAGTTTTCTTGCCACCCGGACCAATCGTAGCAGCCGAGCTGTTTTCAGCAGGCTTGTTAAGGTTGCCATCTTTGGTGTCCGATAACAACAGGGAGGAAGATTTTAGGCAAGGAAATGACCATTCAATGAAGAGTAGCTTTAAAAAACTTGACCTCCGCCAAGGGGGTTACGTTTTTACCCACGACCATTCATTGTTTGTTGGTTGGTTTGGTTGTAAGCAAGATTACGGAAAGACTACGAGATGGACTCCCGCAAAGCTTGGTGGAAGGATGCTGTCTGGGTCAGGGAAGAATCCTGAGTTGGAAACTAGAACGGAATTCAGTAGTTAGCTCTGCCCATTGATTCAAAACTGCACCAACATGTAATGGATTTTTCCCTGACCCATACTGTATCCTTCAACCAAGTCTCGTGAAAATCTGTTCAGTTGTCTTTGTGTAATCTTGGTCACAAACAAACACACGGACAGGGTTGAAAACAGGACCATCTTGGCAGAGCTGTTTTTGTAACAGCACAGTTATATCTCAGGATAACTTATATAATAATTATATGTTCAATTCAAACAATGAGAACAATCATAGTTCTTACCTCATCAGAGCCAGATCTGAATATGAGAAGGTCAAAGGGGATCGCTGCAAACAGATCAATGGGGAACCAGCCTTTAATATAGTGCTTGGCGATCCGGCTCGGCTGTGTGACCACTTCGTCGTTCTTGTCCACGTACGTCGTGCGAAGGTTGATGACTATATCCACAATAAACAACACGTCCACCATGAGGTCTGCCACATTCAGAGGGTTACACGTGTAGCCACAAATCCTTTGACGTAAATCCCCGTGCTCGTCCAAGAGGAAGGTGGCTGAGTAAGGAGTGAAAACGGCCGTGTAGAGGACCAGCAGGAGAATTATCCAGTCCCAAAACGCCTTGAAGGGGCTGTAGTGAAGCAAGATCCACCATGTTGTCTCTGGCACCTGGAGTTTGTATTCAGGAAGTACATCAGACTCCAGAGAAAGTACCTGAGCATGAAGAATGCAGGGGTATGCAATGATTGTTATGCATAAACACAGAATCTCAGACTTTTATGTGAAACTATGAGTTGCAATTTGAGAAAAAGACACTAAACCAAATACATTCTCTGGAAGAAAAAGCAGAAATTCCAAAGGTGATCCCACCCAACTGACCTTTCTAGAAGACGCACTGTTTTGATCGAGCTGCTGGAGACTGCGTGCTCCAGTTTTGCGACCTTGAATGTCCAACAAATCCTTGACCATCGTGTCATCGGTGAATCTCAGACCACTTAGTATTTATAGCATCATATTTCAGGATCGCAAAAAAATAAAAACTACAGCAAAGATAAAGCACCAGAGTGCTGTAATCAACCTGGCCAGAGCTGACTGAGTGCAGGATGCTGCGGGCCTGGAGGGCTGTAATGATAAACTGGGCGTCACAGACACACGATTGAGTTCATGTGCTGCCAAAGTCCTCTTGTTCTCTCTCACCCAATTTTAAAATGATGTTTGCTGCCCTGATGAATCTCACTGATATAAAACACAGCTTCATAAACAGGTACCTGGAAAGATCATCAGATAAACAGACGTGCAGACAGGGATCAACATGTGACCCCGTGCACCAAGGTCGCAGGTCACTGCAAAGTCTCCCTTTGTATTTATTTCATATCAGCGTCCTGCAGATGCAGTGATGCAGAATGCTCAGCCTCGGGGCTGCAGCAGCAGCAGGTCTGAATTGAACTGTGGCTAAATGTAAATTTGCTTTTCACACCCAGGAGAAAAACATTACGCCACGAAACTAACTACTGATTTTTCCACCAGCACGTTAATTACAACAGTTTTCCATCATGTCAACTTCCTGGAAGCCTCTTAAAATCCAAAATGATTAAATGTGGTTTCTAAAATGAACCTGACAATCCTCTAAAGCATCACAGGCCATCATAGTCACAGACTCTCCCTTGAAATTGGGTCAAGAATGACGCACGCAGCACGAGACTGAGCCCTGTGCGAGGTTCTTGGCCCCCGTACCTGCGTGACCTTCTCTGTGACGTTCTGAGAGCGGTCCTTCACCTTGGAGGGACTGAGCAGCTCCGTCCTGGGGGTTGGAGGCGAGCAGCATTCAGGGCCCCTGCTTCCTGGTCCCCCGCTCTTCATAAGGTCTGACTCAGACATGGAGCTCTGCTGGATTACAGGTTATCCCATCATTTATTTAGATTTAGGCCACAGAAATGAAAACAACCTCTACTTTGTATAATACTTTGTCTTCCTTGAAAGACATTTGCTTACTACAACCGGTACTCCCATTACTGTGTCAGTGATGTACTTTCCTCGCTGTACTGGACTTCAGCTCTGGATTCCTTTCATTCATTTACATGCAACTTGCCAAATGTAAGCCTCCGTGTATTTGGCGCCTGCTAGTTCTCCTCCATATACAGAAGCTTATATAAAAAACGTTTTATATAAATTAAAAAAGTCTGTCTGCTGCATGTCTTCCCAACTCTCCCCAATTTAGACTTATGCTGTCAATTAATAATTCTATAAATGAAATTAACCCGCACCCCCCCCCCCAAATTTTTTTTATTTTTCATTCTGAATTTTCCCTAGACTCAAAAAAGTGATGTACTCAGGGATGTTTAATATTCACTACCCCACCCTTTAACCAATTCCTCTCTGATTTCCCAGAATGCCCATCAAGCACTGCCACTCCCAAAAATACCCAAACACAGGAAGTTCAGTCTCAAGGTGTTAGGGTTAGAACAATGTGCTGTCACCAGTCTGTCAGTTCTCAGGTTTTAACTCACCTGATTTGACACCAGAATATCAGATCCTCCTCGACCTTGACCAGCGCGCAGCCATGACTCAAACATTCATCGTCCTGAACATTTTGTTTGGACGAATATGTTCAAAAAAAAGTTCACTCTCCTCTTTCTTGCTTCATATTTACACAAAACAAATGCACGTCTATTTTTTTCTGTTGGACGCAGACGTCGATGCTGAACCCTCCGCTCTGGCACAGGGGGCACAGAGGACTGGCCTGCAGCTCGCATGTTGCAGCGCGACATTCGCCAACACTGGAACACAATCGATGCCATACTATAGCTGAGAGGAACTGACAGAAAAATCTATGAGGGGCATTGATAAACAGAGCAAATAGGCTTAGAGCTGTGACACAGGACTTCCCCATTAACATCAAATTAGCATTTCAACATTCTCGTGGGCAGCTGGCTTTGGTAATGGACATTTAAAATATAGTTCAGGCTGTGACATACATGACGCCGCGATGCAAAAACATCAAATCAGCTGAATGTATAGCAGCCGCTCAATATGTTGCATGTATACTGGTAATGTGGGATCCTATTGACTGACTTCAGTAATATGAGGGGGTAATGACCTGTGATGACATTGGCTCCAAATGTCCTTTAGCTCTAACCTTCAGTCGTCTGTATACTTTAAAAACATAACATAAATACACAGTTTTTCATGATTTTAAAATAGGAAAAAGTCTAATCTTAAAACTTTTTAAAGAGGTAATCTAAACTTTTTTCTTGAAAGACAAAAACCAAACACAAATTATCACGCTAAGAAGGTTTCGTCTCCTTTTGTTTGTTTGTCAGTCGAATTGCACAAAAAACTACGAGCCTGATTTCCATGAGGGATGGGGTGTGGGCGTGACCCAAGGGAAGAACATGGTTCTTGGAACATGAAACATGGAAATCTTGGTGCGGATCAGTTTCAGGGGGCGGATCCATGTATTTTTTTTTTTTTTTTTACATTGCGAGATTTGACAGACGTGGAATTCGGTGCTGATCCAAATATAAATCTGGATCTCGTGAACTGAAATGTGGTTTCATAAGGGGACTGTTGAGCTTTGGCAGATGGAGGCACTCTAGTGAGGGTTCTATGCTTCTGACTGGCTGCTGTAGAAAAGTGCAGTCTGAGAAAACTGAACAGAAAGCATCACTTTACATTTTACCAAGAACCAGAGTTTATTTTCTCTTCCATTATTTCCACATAGATGATTTCAAAATGGCCAAAAACGTACAATGACAAAACAAGCTTCAGTATCAGAACCGACTGATGCACAAGGTTGTCAAAACCATTCTTTGTGAAATTAAATATTCCACACGCGGACTATTCTGTGTCCCGCCCGGTGTCCAAGGGGTCGTACTCAGCTGGCAGCCTGGATATTGTCCCACACTCTAACTATGTCAGGACAGTCAGTCAGAGCCTCTCCTAGTGATGAAGCAGCGTCCAGCTGGTCCTGGTCCAGAGACGACATGTTACTCGGAATAAACTCCACCTCAGAAGACGTAATCTGCATCCCCAGCTTCTCCAGCGAGGCTCGCACCTTGCTCAGCTCCGTCGTGTCACAGATGAACTGGAGGGAAAGCAAATCAAACTATTAGTTCAACTGTAGCAGGATGAAACTAAATCAACACTCAGTTTTTAGGATGTTCAGGACCGTGACATGATCTCTGGATCTCTCTGAATTTGATTTATTCATTTCTCTTTGCATCTTTGTCTCCTCGTGTCTGCACTGAGGAGACGTCTCTTCGTCTCTGACCTTCAGGAGAGGCTGCTCCTCCTCATCCTCCGTCTCTTGGACGTCTTCGGCTCCGGCCTCGATGGCCAGCTCCAGAGCTCTTTCCGCCGAGATGGTGTCCCCCGCCGCCCCCACCACCCCCCTCTTGGTGAAGTTGTGGCGGACCCCGTCAGACAGCGCCCCACTGTGGACAAGCAGAAGATTACACCTTCAGTAACATTACATCAACCTTTTTTGAACACATCATTTGTGTGTGTTGTATATTTGCTTACTCTCTACTTTCTAATGTATTTGTATTTATGACCTGTGCAAAACAATACTGTTGTAAAAATCATTTCCCTTTGAGAATCCTTTATCCAAAGTTTTTGTGAGATAGTGAAATTTCAGTTTTGTAATAGTATACATTTCTATATCTGACCCGTTCTTGCTGAGCAGCCGTTTAACTTCCTGGTGGCTGCGGGTGTTGTTGTCAGTGAGGACCTCGATGAGCAGCAGACATCCACCAGGCCCCCGAGCTTCAAACATTTGCTGGGACACTGGTTTGGCTCTCTCCTGCAGAACCAGGAGAGAACACATGAACGAGGCAGCACATTAATCGTTCTTTTTTTTTTATATTTGAGAGACCTTGATGGAAAAAACAGACATGTTCAGGGAACTGATATTTAAGATTGTGTGAAACTCTGAATCGAATCAGTTGGGCCTTGGCTCTTCTGAGGATTGTTTCTTTATTTAAATGCCACCATGTATTTCACTGTGCCAGGGTTGTCAACCTACCGCATTCTTGATGGCAGTCTCTATGGCGGCTTTGGGCATGTTCTTGTTCCTGCACTGCTCCAGTAGCTGAGCTAAGTTTATATTCAGCTCCGGGTTTGATCCACCTTCTGCGGGAGAAACCACAAGAAGTGCAAAGATGAGCTGCGGTCCAGGGCAGGACCGTGAGGACGTGACAGTCCCTCTGCACCCTCACCTTTCACTGCTATTTTAATCATCATGCCGAGCTTCATGAACATCCTCCCCCTCGCCTCGTCTTTGGGTCCTTTAATGTGCTTCACCTTCGACCACTTGTTGTGTCCCGCACACAGGGCGGAGCAGAGCTGCAGCGGCCGGACAGAGCAGCCGGTCCACGGGGGAGGCAACACACGTGGTGCCGGCGGGAGGAGGGTCTTCACCGGGGCAGAGCAGCTGCAGGAGGCCGCCGCCAGTGACCGGGGGAGCGGGGTCCGGAGAGCCCGCAGCACCGCCGCCCCCACCATGCCCTTTACACACACACACACACACACACACACACACACACACACACA